CGGGCACACAGAGCCACTTTGTCCCGGGGCAGCCGCTCCGCCCCCCGGCCCCGCAGGAGCGGCCTCTGCAGGCGGCCAGGGTGGAACAGGAGACGGCTCCTCAGCTCCCCGGTGAGCAGCAGCCTCTGCCCGAGCAGCCAGGACCCGGGGGCTGAGGCAGGGCTGGCTCCCAGGGCCTGTTTCCAGAGGGGACCCCGATGGGATCTGGGGCTCTGCGCCCCGTACAATAAGACTCCAAGGGCACGGGAGAACAGGACTGTATTTAACCATGGGAAGCACCAACCCACCAGGGTTTTGGCACGTGGGGAGCTTTGCCAGCAGAGCTGGCTTTTGTTCTCAGCTTTTTGGGGAGCTGGTTAGCTGGAGGAGGTGGCTCTGGCCAGTGTCAAAGCTGAGCTGCCTCATCCCCCAGCTCCCAGCTCGGGTGGCCCCCAGAGCCTTTGCTCTGCAGGCCTTGGAGCAGAGCCTCAGCCAGGACTCCTGGGACAGGGTGTCCTGCAGTCCAAGGGCAAAGGCCAAAACGAAGCCCAGAGCCCCATTACCTTCCTGTACAAGCACTTAATTAATCCTATAGAGGCATTGGCCCTCCCAGAGGTCACCCCTGTGCCAGCTCTGCCACCCAGAGGGGAGCTCATCATCTGTGGCCAGTTGCCTGGCATCCGTGTCCCTCACGGCCCTCCACAGACCAACCCCAAATCCACTGGTGGAGCCTCTTTCCACGGGAGGGGGCTGATTTCTTTCAACAGCCTCTTTCCTACAGTGGGAATCAAAGCCCTGCACTGCTGAGGAGGGAGGTCTGGTGCCTGCAGGGTCCTGCTGTGGACCAGCAGCTCCAAAAGCTTTATTGCTTTGTGGGGTTCTGCTAACACCTACGTGACTGCAGTGACTAACCAGCACCTCCAGGGACTGCCCGTGGTGGTTCAGGACACCCCAGCCTTTCTGTAGGGGCAGTGAGGAGACCACTCATTCTGCTGAGGCTTCCTGGGCCAGTGCAGGACCATCACCCAGGGGCACCACGGGCGATGCAGGAGGTTTGCTGGTGGAAACCAAGGGAGAACTGTAGCCCTGGGCCACACAGTCCAGACCCACCACTGGCTTTTTTGTTTTTTTTTTTTTTTTGGCAGGGG